GGTCTTCTACTGGTGGGCTGGGATCACTACTGCAAGGGTAAAAGGATGTGTGTCCCTCCAGATCTTGCGGGACAGGGATAGCCTAACTACTGTTGTCTGTGCTCTGGTAACCTGAAGGTTAGATTACCGCAACGCGTTATACGTAGGGCTGGCTCTGAAGTTGGTTCATCCCACAGCTTCTGGTTCTGGGTTCACCTCAGATTTCTGTGTCCAGCTGACATTGCCGGGGCCATAGCACTGTGGTGGTACACCTGCCTTGCATGCACAAGGCCCCAGATTCAATCCTCAGCATCTTCATGTAGGGCTAAGAGAGTCCCCTGCCTTAAACCCTAGAGAGGCCCTGCTAGTCAGTGTGTAGAAAATACTGAGCTAGATGGAGCAATGGCCTGAGGCAGTTTCCTATGTTCCTGGTGAAGTAACCTTCTATTGGAGAAATTGGGTTCTAAATTGGGGAGGGGCAGGGGGGTAGAGAGAATGAGCACATTCATATCATACATTGAAAGCACTGTGAAACCACTTTAAACAGTCATGGCTCCCCCCCCCCCAAAAAAAAGAATTCTGTTAAAGGTGCTGAGAGTGGTTAGAAGATCCCAGATTCCCCTTCCAGGGCTACAATTCTCAGGGTGGTTTAGCAATCTTTCCTCCCAGGGAACTCTGGGAAATGTAACTCTGCGAGTGGAATAGGGGGGTCTCCTAACAACTCCCAGCACCATTAACAAATGGCACGGGAAAAGCCATGACTGTTTAAAGTGATATCCTAGTGCTTTAAATATGTGGTGTGAATAAAGGAGGAAGAGAGAGGTCTCTTCCTCAGGGCAGTCTGTCAGAGAACCAGCCCATCATTCTCATGGGTGCTTTGCTACTTTATGAATTAGTGCAAAACAAAAACAAACACCAGCTAGCTAGCCATAGCACTCATCTAGAAAAGAAATCCAACACCTTTACATGAAATTTATTTTTAATAAGAGTTGTTTGTATGTGAGAAATTATGCCTAAGGCATGGCAAGTCATGGCTGGAACTGAACCACGACTCCAAGGGCTCTACATTGTGGTGGGTCTCTGCCTCTAAACACATATCAGCACAGTTCAATAAAGCTTTTAGTCCAAGTGCTTACAAAGAGCTAGGAAACAGCTGCATCTCTTTGCTTCAGTGTGACATGGATAGGCGAAACCCATTACTTATGCAAATATAAGTAAATTATATTCTGCCCTCTGGTCAAGGCATCTTCAGTTGATCAAATAAATGCATCCATCATACAAAACAGGAACAAAAAGGAAAATACGGTATATGCTAACCAGTCCTTGTAGTACCATGAAAACCCAGCAGGTTGCTCTTGTGTGCCATTTTCAAAAACCCAGCAGAGAGAAAAACACACACACACACACACACACACACACACACACAACTGCTTTTTCTAGTGATACAAGCAGTTTTCAGGTACCATATTCATTCTTGCTGTCATAGATATTAGAAGTAACTGGCTGTACTTTTGAATAAATAAGGTATATTATTCATTGTATCAAATTGTAGATTTCAACAGAAGTCTCATAAAGTTCAACGAAAAAAGCAGAAGTCCTAGTGGAACAGTTCATTCTCTAGTCAGCTCATGCATAAGGTCCATACATGTAAAAGTATCTATTCCACCTGTCTGTTCAAAGAGTCAAATAGTCCACATGAAGGGTTGTTACAGAATCCTTTCACAGAGTCTAATCCTCTCACAGAGTCTTTCCTTTCACAGAGTCTAAGACAAGGATTTCCAGAATATTAGCCTTGTTTCGCCATCCTAGGCTTCATCAGTAGAACAGGCTCATATGTAATATTACGGGATAGTGGATCTTATGGCATAGTAGTGGTTGCAGTAAGCAGTGACTGTTACAAAGCTGTATTATATGGACAAGCACAATATTGGTTTTATACAATTTGATACAATGAATAGTATACCTTATTTATTCAAAAGTACAGCTGGTGTGTTTATTGTGTGTCTATTGAGTACAGTGGTACCTCTGGTTGCGAACGGGATCCGTTTCATAGCCCCGTTCGCAACCTGAGCAGAATGCAACCCGCGTCTGCGCATCTGCGCATGACATCATTTTTTAGCGTCTGCACATGCATGAGCTGCGAAACCCGGAAGTAACCCTTTCTGGTACTTCCGGGTCGCCGCGGGGTGCAACCTGAAAACGCTGAACCTGAAGCAAACACAACACGAGGTATGTCTGTATGTTTCATGTAACCATGGGTTTGTTGTTGTTTTGTCATAGATTTTAGAACACTTTGTTTTGCATCTTCAAAAGCATTTAGAATAAGTCATGTCACAGACAATAAATTAAACCCATTTCTTTACCATGTTCAGTCAATTCTTAAGTTTGCAATCACAATGGGATTCATCTTTTACTAAAGGTGCAATCTCTAGGCTGCAGTCCTATACACACTTACCTGGGAGTAAGCCAGAATTGCTCTGGGAAGAGTACCGTACTTTTCAGGATATACTTAAATCAGCTCGGGTAGACTGACATCTCCTTCATTGGAGGTTTTTAAACAGAGGTTGGTGAACCATCTGCCAGAAATTCTTTAGCTGTGGTTCCTGTACTGCACAGGATTGGACCAGAGAACCCTTGGGGTCCCTTCCAACAGCACTACTGGCATGAGACAGTGTGATGAAGTGGTTAGAGGAGGGGTTGTAAAATGTGGTCCTCTCCAGATCTGGTTGAACTACAACCCCATCACACCTGACCACTGACCTGGGTTTGCCCAGACCTGCTGCAATCATAGGAGCCAGTGCCTAGGGGCTGATGGCCCTTTGCCGCCCCCCTAAAATATTTGAGGGGCCCCCAAAAGTTGACTGGCATTGCCATTCAAATGGTGTGCATCTGCACATCTTGTGATCAGTTATGTGTAGCAGGGCTTAAATGCCTCCCCCAATACTTCATTCAAGTTGGCACTGCTGGTTTCAATGTATACCAGACTGACACTCATACTTGGACTTGTCTTGTCTTTACCAGAAGAAAAAGAAAAGAAAAGAAACAGTTGTTCATTCTCTATTTATATGAAATCTCAAGGGCAAAAGCAGTTTCAGCCTGCCTTCTCCCACTTGCAATAGAGTGGGGGACTTTGGGACAATGTCAGGAAGGCGTTATTATTAAAAAGCAGAACTTGCCACAATCCAAAAAACAGCTCAGTCAAGATGAACAAATTTAATTGGAGATGTATATTCCGTTACGAGTGCTTCACACAAGCCAGGAAATACTATTCTAACTTAACATCGCAAGAAAGCCAAAGAATTTCCTTCCTTCCTGCTAGAAAATTCACCTCACATAAATTAAAGAATGCTTTCTATAATTACAATGGGTTTATTTGTAAACTAAGAGATTCCTCAGGTTGACTGCTTTTCTGGGACTCAGCTGGAACTGAGCCAAAAAACCCGACCCATTTTTTTATTTTTGTGAGGGAGGGTAATGCCAAAATGTGCTTCCCCTTTTCATTTTTGCCAGTCCTTGTAAAAATATTCATTTATCCTGAATTCTATGTTGCCCTTCGCTGCCTTCAATGGCATCATCATGTTGCAAGATTTGATTGGCTGTGTTGACCTGTATCATTTTATTCACTGATGCGATATCACCTGTAGCATCATGGCATAAGCCATTTCACTACAAGATCACTGACTACAACCACATTTGACAACCCCTCCTCCATGGTGGGCAGGAGATGGATGGACAAAAATTCCTATCATGCAGAAAAGGTTTGCAGGTGAACATATGATGCAGGCCGGTATTCAGGCTGGTTCCCAACATTCCATCACACTCTGGCATATTATTGAAACTAAACCCAGGGGAGAGATGCTATGCAAAGTGGAAGAAGCATTGTCTTTAATGGCTGGAGTCAGCACCAGGGACAAAACTGAATCTTTAGCAATACTGTACAGTGAATATGGGTAGTAAGCAACAACATGCATTTGTAGGGTAAGTCAGCCAGATGCATGCTGTTGCAAATTAACAAAAACAAAATTATATCCTGTTGAAGCTCCCTGCAAAGTATACATTTTCATATTGAGTAGAAGTTTTCTTCTTCTTTTTTCTTTTGTAAGAATCTTTAGCTCTCTGTTCCATAAAACAGAAAAACAACAACCCAGAAACCTAACAGAGTTTGCACAATGCTGCAGAATTTATTTTGGCATGAAAAACAATTCAAATGCAACTTTCCCCAGATGATGTAAGGAAACAGCTTTTTTTCTGGCCATTCATAAATACAGTGATGCTATGATTGCAAAAGGTGTTCACTCAACAGATGACAAGGCTTTTTAACAGAAGACAGGCACCATCCTGTCATCAGCAAAGGTTATAATCTTTATGGAAGTTTAGACAAGCTACAACAAAAGGGTGGTTTATTTGGCAGCAATTCTACAACTTTTTTTTTTTACTTCTCTTAGCAAACTTTAAAATAACCATGAAGTTCTTATTTACAATATGTACATACTCTTTAAAACCCTTAATGTCCAGATGTTGTGCTTGCTAAAACATTTGTGTTATGAAAGTCAGCCATTTTAAAAAAATGGAATTCCAACTCCCGTCCACCAGATGATTGCTCTCCTCAGAAGTTCACAAAGACTGTGACATCACCACTGTGATGTCACCACTTGGGTAGTGGCATTCTATCTTGAAGGAAGATAAGGTAAATCACTCACTTAAAGGAAGATAGAATGGTGAAGAGCCAGGGCTCAGGGTAGAGCATCTGTTTCGCATGCAGGAGGTCTGAGGTTTAATCCCAGGTGTGCCCTGGAAGGGCTGGGGAAAATCCCTTCCTTCCGGCCAGTGTAGACAACACTGAGCTATATGGACTGCCTTGGCTTAAGGCAGCTTCCTATGTTCCTAATACTGAGATAAGAAATAATGCTCTGGCTAACGGGTTGAGTTCTCCACTAGAAAAACAAAACCGGAAACTGTAGCAGCTTAAACTATTTGTAAATGAAGACAGTGTGGGGAAAGTACCACACAGTCCACTTCTCTCAGATAGTGCTTTCTATGAAAGATGGTTGCAGCATCAGCTCTGCTTCTGTGCTATTTTCTTCAGGCGTATTCAGAACATCCTGCTGCTGATAGATATCTTGGACCAACATGGTGTTTGAATCCTTCCACTCCCTGTACTTCCTTGCTGTTAGTTCAGGATCCTCCAACAACTGGTTAATCGTGGCCAAGTCATGTTCCTTGCACTAGAAGAAAGAAAGAAAGAAAGAAAGAAAGAAAGAAAGAAAGAAAGTGAAGTTTGTGAAACTGGAAATGTGGGTTGACCACTAGAGGTCTCTCATATCTGGATTGCTGTCCATTCCTAATGTTCTCCTCTCCAAGCTCTGGAGACCAAAGAAGATAACATTGTCCTTCAAATTTTTTTAAAAGAATATCCACATTGTAAACACAACCGTGATTTCAGGGATTTTCTGAGGCTGCTAAAAATTACACACAATGAGTTAAATGCCTCAACAACAGCTGAAGCACAACAACTCCATAAACGCTTACCTTTAACGTACTATTCAGTGCTCGGATTTTGTGGAGTTTCTCATTAACAGTCGGGTTTTTGCACCTCTTGATGAAGGATTTTCTCAGCTCCTTTTTTGTAGAAGGTCGCCTGTCCCCAAGGGGAGACAAACTCGCTTGCTCTAAGGACTTGTAAAGTTTCTCCATTTCATCTACGGAACATTTTGCATCTGTAGGGAAGACAGAAAACAGGCTGTGTCTAGCAACAAGTCCTAGGGCTACTGAGCTGTACTAAGTGTGCTCCTTTTTCATCTACTAGCTCTCAAGTGACTGTGCAAAGGATTTTATTTATTTATTTTTTTGGAGAGGCTTTGTTTTAATCTCTTCCAAGTTTTCCTAAAGTTATTTTCCCCACATTTTAAACAGCAAAGATTTAGCTCATTGGATATCTGCAAATATTTGTATTTGACTACTTCCTAACGTGTGCATTTAGTCATTTCGCAACGCTGCGCAAAGATAACACCCTGTCAATTGTACTTGGACAAGAGCTAAATATAGACAATACTAAAGAAAAGAGGTGGTTGTGTCACAAGACCATGACAGGAAAGAGCAATACTGGGGCCAATTTGCTGCAGCAGCATTTCCTGTGCATATCACTGCCTCATTAAACATGCCCTAATTATGGCCAAAAAAAAAAAAAATCTTTCCTACTCATTGTAAAAAGCAGTTGCATATAATTAACAGAAAGTCACATCAGAATTTATAAATGTACACCTGCATAAAGTGTTTCTGTGACAACTTTATGAAAACTCACATACACTGACCAGAGAGCAAGAATTAGCTGTGAATGTGTGTGTTTCGTTTAGTCTATACTAAAATAAATTCGTTTAGTCTATACTAAAATAAAAAAAATTAAAAATTCATTGATGGGTGATATTGTTGTTGTTATATTTATTTATACCCCACCTTTTTCTCTGACAGGGACTCAAGTGGCTTACAGATAGAATAAGAATAGCTAAAAACATAGAAAAAATAGTTTTAAATAATTAAACATTAACAGTGTGTGTGTGTGTGTGTGTGTGTGTGTGTGTAACATACAGACAATCACAACAAAAACAGTCTATAGATCCCTACTCATAACAACTCTGATGATGTCAAACTAGGGTGTCCATTGTGGTGCTGGATATCAGAACAAAACCTATGTTCATCAGGAACTTGAGCCTTTATCACCGTTGAGCATTTGCTTGAGAAGATCAGTTAAAGTTTAGAGGAAGGAAGTGGTCACCCCTGGAACCAGCACAATGCCACTTAGCAGTTATCAAAGTACACCAAAGATCTTGCTCTCTTGTGTAACCAGCCACCCTGCCTCCCCTCAAGGCAAGGAACTCTGCCCCCTCCCCCCCCCCCCAGGAATGAAGCAAAAAGCTCTGTCTCATATGATAGAAACATTTAATGGTCCTCATAGACCAGGGTTCTCATGAAGATTTCATGCTACTTCAGGCCCTCCCCCAGTGCATCCCTTCCCCAAATTTATGGAAGTTGTAGGGGCATTCAAGGAGAGCTTGCAGGAAACACAGGGTTGTTGTGGCAAATGGGAGTTGTAGGCTGTACAGTGATACCTTGGTTTAAGAACAGTCCGGTTTAAGAACGATTTGGTTTACAAACTCCGCAAAACTGGAAATAGTGTCTTGGTTTGGGAACTTTACCTCGGTCTAAGAACGGAGGAGACAGGACTAACACTGATTAAGAAAGTGAAATATTTAGGGGTTCACATGACTGCCAAAAATGTGAATCTATTTAAGGATAATTATGAAAAATGTTGGATTGAAGTGAAAAAGGATTTAGAAATATGGACAAATTTGAAGTTATCATTGTTAGGCCGAATTGCTGTGATAAAAATGAATGTGCTGCCAAGGATGTTGTTTTTGTTTCAAACATTACAAATTTTGGATAAGATGGATTGTTTCAAGAAGTGGCAGAAAGATATTTCCAGATTTGTTTGGCAGGGCAAGAAGCCTCAAATAAAATTTAAGATATTAACTGATGCTAAAGAAAGAGGTGGATTTGCCCTGCCAGACCTCAAACTTTATTATGAATCAGCGGCTTTTTGCTGGCTGAGAGAATGGCTGCTTCTTGAAAACACTGACGTGTTGGATCTAGAAGGTTTCAATAATGCATTTGGTTGGCATGCATATTTGTGGTACGATAAGGTAAAAGTACATAAAGCGTTTAAAAATCATATTGTTAGAAAAGCATTGTTTAATGTTTGGATAAGATATAAAGATTTGCTAGAAAATAAAACCCCAAGATGGTTGTCACCAATGGAAGCAAAGGCACAGAAAAAACTCAATATGGAGGCCAAATGGCCGAAATATTGGGAAATTCTGGATCAAGATGGAGACAGAATAAAATTGCAGAGCTTTGAAAAATTGAAAAATAAAGTGCGAGATTGGCTCCATTATTATCAAATAATGGAGGCATACAATTTGGACAAAAAAGTTGGTTTCCAGGTGGAAAAATCAAAATTGGAAACAGAAGTGTTAGATCCAAAAATTAAAAATTTGTCAAGAATGTATAACTTGCTGTTGAAATGGAACACTCAGGATGAAACGGTGAAATCAGTTATGATTAAATGGGCACAAGATATTGGACATAACATAATGATGGCCGACTGGGAACAGTTATTGACCACAGGTATGAAATTCACGGCATGTAATGCCCTAAGAGAGAATATTATGAAAATGATATACAGGTGGTACATGACACCAATCAAGCTTGCAAAAATTTACCATGTGCCTGATAATAAATGTTGGAAATGTAAGGAAAATGAAGGTACTTTCTTTCACCTTTGGTGGACGTGCCCAAGGATTAAGACATTCTGGGAGATGATTTATAATGAAATGAAAAAGGTATTTAAATATACCTTCCTGAAGAAACCAGAGGCCTTTCTCCTGGGCATGGTCAGCCAATTGGTGTCAAAGAAGGATAGAACTTTTTTTATGTATGCAACAACAGTAGCAAGGATACTCATCGCAAAATATTGGAAGACACAAGATTTACCCACCCGGGAAGAATGGCAGATGAAGTTGATGGACTATATGGAACTGGCAGAAATGACTGGTAGAATCCGAGACCAGGGAGAAGAGTCGGTGGAAGAAGACTGGAAAAAGTTTAAAGACTATTTACAGAAATACTGTAAAATTAATGAATGTTAGAAAAATGTTGGAATGAAGTTATATGGCTTTAGTAGAAATGTTATAAGGAATTAAGTATAATAGATTAATAGAGTATTAAAGGAAAAGATAAGGTTAGAATGAGTTAAGATAATTATAGGATAGAAAACAGAGGAAGATGGAAAGGAATTGCTGAAACAATTAACAGAAGTGGAATACAAAAAGGGAGGTGTGAGGAGGTCGTGGAAATAAGTGAATGAAAGATGGGATAATGAAATTGTTTGATTTATTTTATTGTTTCTGTTTTGTTTTGTTAGTTTAATGTGTTTAATTTTAATGTTATGTAGTGTTTATGTATTGTATTGTATTGTTTTTCTAGTGTTTAAATTGTTGGAAAAGTAATAAATATTATTATTATTTTTTTAAAAAAAGAACGGAATCCGAATGGTGGAAGGGCACCGGCAGTGGGAGGCCTCATTAGGGAAAGTGCGCCTCGGTTTAAGAACGGTTTCGGTTTAAGAACGGACTTCCGGAACGGATTAGGTTCATAAACCGAGGTACCACTGTACAGTGATACCTCAGGTTACATACGCTTCAGGTTACATACGCTTCAGGTTACAGACTCTGCTAACCCAGAAATAGTGCTTCAGGTTAAGAACTTTGCTTCAGGATGAGAACAGAAATTGTGCTCTGGTGGTGCAGCAGCAGTGGGAGGCCCCATTAGCTAAAGTGGTGCTTCAGGTTAAGAACACTTTCAGGTTAAGAACGGACCTCCGGAACGAATTAAGTACTTAACCTGAGGTACCACTGTATATGCATCAGACGTTTAAACTCATTCCCCACTCAACAAATTCTAGGAACTATGGCTTACTCCTCAAAGAGCTTGAGTTTCCAGGACTCAGACTACAATTACTAGGATTCTTTGTAGAAGGGGGTGCTGTAAAAGTATGGCATTTACACAGGCTACATCTAAACCATCGGGAGAGCACCAGTTGGAGGGGCTATTATACTATTATAAATAATACCTCATTATGTTGCAGTGATGTTTCATTTTCTTTTTTGTTCTCTATTATAACCAGTCTTGCTGCATCAACAACTGCCAAAGGAAATAGAAATGGCAGTGGTTGGACACTGCTCCCCGCCCCCCCAAAAAAGGCCTGTAAATTGGAAGAGAAGCCTATGGACAGAGGGGCACGTACTCACAATGCTTGTTTATAGCCTCACAGCCTCACACACAAACAAGAAGCCACAGAGATTTCTGTTTATTTTTCCTCCTCTACTTTAAAAAAAATTAAAGCCAGGAAGTAGTCTTGGCAGGCTGCAAGTCAGGATGAACAGAAACATAATGTTTAACCCTTTCTTTTTTGTTTGTGGGGCAGCGTGGGAGGCGGGATCAATTTCCCTGTGCTGCTGCTTCCATAGAGGAAAAGATAATGAGACCCCACAATTTTCACACACACACCTCCTTGGGTAAAAGAAGGAGTTTGTGAAGTGAGATTTAAGTTGAACAATGGCCGTTCAGTTTGATCTATTTATACAGACATAAATTCATTCATTTCAAGCCCGAGACTGGTTTCAACAAATCACGTTGCTTCCTTCACCCATACTATCACTAAATGAAAGAAGAGGGGGCATCAATCACTACAACTTAAGAGTAGACATGGCACCAAATGCTGGGGACTGAACCTGGGACTGTCTGCAGGTAAAGCAAAGAGGCTACAAGTGAGCTCTGCCTCTTTATGGGTCAAGGCAGGAAGAGCAATACTGTAGGGCCAACAGATCATCTACTGCTTGACTCACCTTTAGGCAGAGTTTTCGATGCTGCTATTCTAGGCACAGGTAGGCTAGCCTTAGCACTGCATAATGTAGATGTAGCCTCATTCAAAGAGACCCGAAAGCTGCAGTCGGGTTTGACAGTCCCACTTTCCAGTGTTTTGTTACAGCCTGTTACCAAGTGATCAGTATCCTGAGAGTCGCCAGAGGCAGCCGGAGATTGATTGTCCATTTCTTCCCCAGGGGAAGAGTTGTTCACGATGTCGAGCCACGACTGTCTGTCTGGATACAATACTTTGGACAACGAGGAAGACGAGGATCCTTCAGACTTCATCAGGCTTTCCGGCGAGGACAAAGAACATGATACTTCACTTGATGCGTGCGATGTCAAGGCAGGCTCTTCCTGGTCCTGTTTCTGAGAATAAATAAGAAGGTGGGGGTGGAATAAAGTCAAGTCAAAAGCTGGTCATGGGTGGCAATATAAAGGGACAAGGATCAGCGAATTTGAAATCATACTGTTCTCTTGGGACACTGCCTGTGAACTTGGGGCTACCATATAGTATACGAGTGAGTGGTATGGCTCCATTGCTTAATTTTGCCTCAGTTTCACTCAGCCAAATATTGTTTCCTCCAAACAGTACTGGTTTTAAACAGAAGGCATCAAGTAGACATGGAGATAACCTCATAAATGTGTGAAAGACTGTCTCTTTCCCTACAGACTTTCTCAGGGGTAGTTCAGAGGGGACCTTGTTGGTACGTAGTTCTACTGCTCTCAGAAGGTCAGGGGTAGTGGCCTGAGAGAGGGCATTCTTATGGCAGCTCCGAAGCCACAGAATCCCCTCCCCACAGAGGTGCAATGAGCCCCTTCGTTCTATAGTTTTTGCCATATGCTGAAAACTCACCCCTTTATCCTGGCTTTTGACTCCTGATAGATAGATAGATAGATAGATAGATAGATAGATAGATAGATATAGATGATAGATAGATAGATAGATAGATAGATAGATAGATAGATAGATAGATAGATAGATAGATAGATAGATAGATAGATAGATAGATAGATAGATGATAGATAGATAGATAGATGATAGATAGATAGATAGATATAGATAGATAGATGATAGATAGATACACACACTAGCCCAGTCCTTCTCCTTTACCTCAGAGAACAATCAAGGAAGATCAAGAAGAAATGCCACCTGAATAATCCCTGTCACCATAGGGGCATTTCTTTGATATTAATTTTATTGTGAGAATTTTTTGTAAGCTGCTTTGAGAAACACTTGGAGTTATAAAGCAGGATATAACCAACACACACACACACACACACACACACACAGAGAGAGAGAGAGAGAGAGAGAGAGAGAGACACTATTATTTTGATCCTATGGGTAATTAAACAATTTACAGCCTTTTAACCTGGAGGAGGGAGGTGTTGTTTTTGCCTGTTACAACGTTACATATTTATGTGTTTCGTATTGTAAACCACCTTGTGATCCTTGGATGAAGGGTGATTTAGGAATTAATTATTTAACTAACTAATTAATGAATGAATGAATTAAATGTTTTAACTGATTTTAATATTGTATTTTTATGTTGTTTTAGGCCACGCCTGGGACCATACAGTGAAGGTTGAGTAAGAAATCAAAGAAGGAGTACACCTCATATAAATTCTGCCAGAAAGAAAGAAAGAAAGAAGTTGGGATGAGCTTGAGGCAATGAGAAAGGCCTCTGCTGCTGCCAAGTTAATAAATATTATCCAGACAGATTCCAGGAACTCTCTCTCCATGACAGCTACAGTTGAAGTCTCCCTGCTCTGGCTTCGCCATATTGGCCCAGCAGTCTGCTTTCCAGGCTTGAATATTCTGGACGTCATAAATCTTTAGAACAATTTAGATAGTCCAGAGTTCTGATACAAGTAGGACTAAAAGGTAAATGGGGAGTTCATTTATTCCAGGCTGAATACAAAGTGGAAGGATGCATGAAACACACCAAGGAGAGACGTGCTCCTTCCTAGGCAATGCTATTAATACCTGGGATGCTTAAGAATGTATATCTGTAGTTTTAACTTGGGGGGAAATGCCACATGAAATGTTGCTGTGACGAAGTGGAACAGATCTTGATACACTATATGCCAATAAGACTTAACAGACTCAGAAGAGTCAGCAATGAAATGTTGATCATCTGCTTTGGCCATAAATCTCCCTCCTATTTATATACGTAGAAATAAAGTGTTTTGTTGAAGCAGATCACAAAATGGAATGCAAGGCAGGAGGAGTCTGTAGCCAAGCATACCAACTCAATTTAAGAGCATTAAATACCATAGGGCAGGGGTCAGCAGGGGGCTGGTCCACTGTCCCTCAGACCTTGTGGGGGGGGGCCCAGACAATATTTGGGGGAGGGGAGGGAAATGAAAAAATTCCTATGCTCCACAAATAACCCAGAGATTCGTTTTAAATAAAAGGACACATTCTACTCATGTAAAGACACACTGATTCCTGGACCGTCTGCAGGCCAGATTGAGAAGGTGATTGGGCCGCATCCGGCCCCCAGGCCTTAGGTTGCCTACCCCTGCCATAGGATGTGAATAGTCTCATGGAGCTTCAGATAACTGTTGAAGATGGTGCATGTTACTTGTGTAGCTGCAAGAATAAACCACCCTTTCCCCATTCATACGCATTTCTTTTTTAAACCCTCTGAACTTTTGACTGAGCAATTTTCTATATCACAAACTGATTTTATTCAACAGTAAAATAAAAAGTGGAAATTATTATCCCCATGATTTTCTTACTTAAAATGATCTACACTTAACTTTTCAACTGCTTCATGACTCCCATCTATCAATAAACACCCAAGGAAGAATATTATAAAATGCAGGTGTTAGTGTTAGTATATGGAAAAAGTATTCATTGGAAGATTAATGAGCCCTGAGGGGTCTATTTCAGACTAAAGGGATATTCTGCATCTTGACAGCCCACCTGGAAATCTTTGTAGTCTATTGTCTGGAAATGACTGTTCCATTCAAGTAGAAATGGGGGAGTTTGCAAATAAACATTTTCTTGCCTGTTTAAGGAAACTTGTAAAACCCCCACCCCCACCTCAAAATACTAATTTGCATTTGTTTCCATCTGGTTGGTGGCTAAACCCAGAGAAGCACATCTGCTCTTGGAATTAATTACCCAGTAAATGATCACATAATCACTGAGTAATACGGACTATCCCTGCTTTAGATATTTACATTCTGCCTGTACAGGGATTCCCACATTTGAAAAGCACACGCAGTGAAAGCAAAACACAAAATTATGAATCTGCATGATGTGTTCTAAAAATGGAGGCAACAGCAAAGTTTTGGTCCTACTCATTCCAGGGCCGGCTCAAGACATCCTGGCATCTGAAGCAAACCTCAAAATGGCGCACTCTGCGAGTACCATGATGCCTTGATTACTGGGAAGTTATGGGTTGGGTTTTACTGTTTTGTTTTCAATAGTGTGAACTGCTTTGGTGTTTTCTCTGTTGAGGAAAATGATATAGAAACATTTTAAATAAATAAATGTCGTGAGGACAATGTACTCCCTCCAGCAACAGAGGCAAAATGTCATTGGATACCAGTTGCAGGAAATCACAAGCAGGGATGGTGCTGTTATTCTCATGTCCTACTTGTCGATTTCCCGTAGACGCCTGGCAGTCCACCGCGAAAACAGGTTGTTGGACTGGATAGGGCTTTGGTTTGATAAAGCAGGGCTCATCTTATACTCTTATGATTAGCGACTAGGGCCCAAACTGCACCCCCCAGGTGTATCAGCTGAGCTGTAGCCCAGGGCACCAACACAGAGAAAGAATGGTGACTGCATCAAGGGAACTTGCTGCCCTTTGGCCTTCAACTCACTACCTCTTTCTTTCAGTAGCTTTCTCAAAAAGGAGTATGATAAAAAGTCTCAATAATATTTAGGGGGGGCAATCAAAAAGGAGGAAAAAGTTTGTCAGGTCTTACATCCTAGTCCTTCCTACAAGTTCTCTCTCATATTGGGGGGGGGGGGCGGATGGGAAGGAATGATCTTGCAGACATGTTGGAAGCAGGCAGACTGACTGCTGTTAGTGGCCTTGAAGTCAGAATGAAATTAACAAGCACTTCACTTTGTCAAAAGATGTGGAAGAGGTTAATGCCTGTTAGATAGCACTGTGAGAGAGGGAAATAATTTCTGTCCTTGGAATGGGACAGTGGTTGAGGTTCAATAATATGAGGCTGCTTTATTCACTGCTGTTATGCAAAAAAAAAATAAAAAAATCAACCGTTAAGTTTTAATATTACATTTTAATATGGCTTTATATTCCTGTTTATAAGCCATGTGGTGAAATATGAAACTGAGAACAAACAGCAGCCTGTTTTGGCTTATGCTGGCATACCTGAGCTGCAAGCAACTCATTAGATTATGGAGTCACTTCTGTGAACAGGAGACTTTCTCTATGTAGAAAGCTAACTCTGGATACAACCCTGTATCTTTAATTTGATATTACTGTAAATTTATCCACTGCCAGCTGATTCTTGAATTTAATGAGGATGGAGGCGCCAGTGATTTCCTTATCTTCCTTAAACACAAGGGGGTTGAATTAGGAGAGGGTGTTGGCAGCAGAATGACCCAATATCCGAACACTATAAAACCAAATTTAGCACCAGCAAAGTCTGGCATGACTGACAATTGCACAAGCCAAGCACCTGCCTTCCCGAGCTCTACCTGGATGCGAAGTTATTTAAGGACAGAAATCCATGATTTAGAGGAAACTGCTATCAACTGGGCTCAGTGAATAGGGGGGTGGAATAGGTTATAGAAGAAAATTGGTTCAAAATTGTTGCAGCATTGTGAGAATAAAGAATGTGCTAGTGTTGAAAGTGCTAGAGCCATCCTGGGATGCATTTGATTCAACAAAAGCAAAGTGGGTTTTTGTACACCTTCCTCAAGTTTATTTATTTTTAAAAACAAACTTCCGGCAGAATTGCAGCAATCCTAAGCCACGTGCTACATGCTGTGAGAGGCTTGTTCTTTTCTCTAAACCACAAGGAAATAAGGCTGCCTGGGAAGGCTTTAGTAACTATTTGGCTGTGATAACTGTTATTTGCTTTCAGCATATAACAGTGTATTTAGCCAAGAGACGGCCGCACTGTGGTGTGACGGCGAAAATGTCGGACTAAAACTCGTCCATACTTCCGCTTGCCCCATACCTTGAAATAACGGATCTGAGAGGTTTTCTGGCTTTATTGTGCTTTCTATACACAGTTTGCCCCTCTGCTTCCCCTGGGAAAACCTACTCTCTTCCCTCCCTGCAGGGAAGAAGTGGTGAGTGAAGATCTACGTCAGGAGGGAAGAAAGACTGACATTGGGATCCGCAGCCCCTGCGGATCTTGCCGCCTGAGGCGGTCACCTCACCTGGTCCCATGGGTGGGCCGGCCTTGCAAGAGAGCCACATGTAAGATACTAGTGGGTGACAGTCAGTGGAATGCCCCAAAACAGGGCATTCTGAGGTCAAGGAGGGGCTGAGCTGGGTCTGGATTCGTTGGTTCCCAAGCTGACCCCAATGCCATCAGGTGATGGCATCAGGCCCAGTGTGGGCCTGACTTCCATTTTGGCCACCATGCACAGTGGATGCAGTACTAGTGACCTTTCTGGTGGCCAGGGTTAAAATGGAAGTCTAAGCTCCCTGAGTGATCCTCAGCTATTTTACTGGGCTGTTGTGAGGGGGGAAATGGGGGTGGGGGCAGAACCCGTATAGCACCTTGAGCTCTTTGGAGGAAACATGGGACAACAATTTAATTAATAAATGGCGAAGGAGTGTTTTGCATTTATTGTCTCGTATGACTGATCTCACAACAGGCCCCCTGCAAGAATACCGAGTGGAGAAGAAATGTACAGTGCTTTACTGCAGATTACTTATCAGAGTGGCATCTTGCGAACTGGATAGGGTGACACTTGTACAAGCCATTTAGCAAACAGAAGCTAGCTAATTACTATAATACATACCAAATGAGGCGGCGGCAGCTGATCGGAATACGGAGGGGGTGGCGTCTCCACGTTTATTTCTAGATCTTCATGCTCGCTCTCGCTATAGCACTCTGAAGCAAGAACACAACAGTTGAAGTGCATTAGACGTGCCAATTATAGCACTGGAAACAAAAGTAAACTTATTTCAGGTAACCTGAACTGAAAGCAAAACATACCGGCTCTGACTCAGTCAGGGTCATCTGTATGCAAAACAAAGGGTATTTTCTGACATTTCTAATTAGCAGAATCTCTCTTTCTCTTTTCATCTTTCCACAGCGTTGCATGAAAAGAAGAAAGAGGAGGTGGAGGAGGAAGAAGACAAAGGCTTTAAAAAAAGCTCCAGGTTTACAAAGTTTCTCGCAGTCAGAGATAAGGGACAAGCAGACGGTGAGCTACTGTTTAGAAAGGCAGCAAAAAGCTACAGTACTCCAAAAAACCATCTGATGAAACAGGCCTCTCAGAACAAGGTTGCTCTGCAAGAAATAAACTATAACTTTATATCTAATTCTATGAAAAATGAATTGATGCTCACACATTCTGAATCGACAATCATGGCAAAAAAGTGGTATCATAGTGCTTTAAATGTATGGTAGGAATGCCGCTATATATAAATACATAAACTTCTGCTTCAGATCAGACTTAAGAGGGAAGTGAAACTCTTAGTTGCTACTGGTGGGAGGTTGGGACATTCCTTGTCTTGTTTCATGCACTGAAATAGGATGTCTGGCCCTTCCAGAGAGACCCAGCTTCGGTGCTGTGGAGCTCTAGGAAATTTTGCCTCTGCCAAGGAGAGCTGGGAGTGCTCCATCTGAAAATCTGGAGAGCCTCTCTCAGTCACTGTAGACAATACTAAGCTTAATGACCCAATGGCATGACTCAGGATAAGGCCTCTGTTCCTAAGATGTTCCCCTCTCTTTTCTGTATCTATGTGCCTAGACAGAATAAGGGCTTAAGATGTACAAAATGCATCTTTTGGATATCGTTGCAAAGCTCATAACTGCTAATCTAATCTAATCTAATCATATATATATATATATATATATATATATATATATAAAGTTGGCATCTAGCTCTAGCTGAACATTCATCTCTGAGTATTTTGAATATATTGAATGCCATATGTGTTATCCCTGGAAAACTCCTCAGGTAGAAAGGTGTAGAACAATCCCATTCAAAATGGTCCATTTGAGCATACCTTCTTCACTCTTTTTATTGGCTTGTTTGTCAAGGACAGCTGTACCTAATTTCTTCAGCCATCTGAAAAAATAAAAGCAAGCACAGACATTTATATGGAAATAGAAATAGCCAAGCTGAGAGAAAACAGGTTTGGTAGTTACCAAGTCACTTCTCATCTTCAACTGAGGGTGAAATCCAATGCGTACCTTTGCAGTCATGAAAGGGTTATGGGAGATGAGAGGAAGCAATTTTTGCCCACTCCTCCTTCCCCCAAAGTCCCTGAAAATAGGCTCCAGAGAATTTGGTAGCCTTCCAGAACAGGGAAGGAGGAAAGGATAGCCTTGCTTCCTCTTCCATTAGCAGCTCAAAAACTCTTCAGTCAGTATAAGGGGCACTAACTAGATTCCACCCTGAGAATTTTGATAACAGTACAATAAACCATGGCTGGCTAACCTGTAGTTCTCCAAATGATATTGGACTACAACTGTCATCACCCCTGGCCATTGGCCATGCTGTCTGGGACTAATGTGAATTAAGAGTTCGATAACACCTGGAAGGCACTACACTGGCTACCTCTGCAATAAACTAAACCTAAGCAAACCCATGAATCAAGTACAGCACCTATTACAATTATTGAGTGAGCATGATTGAAGATATCTCCTCCTGTTACCTGCTGAGTATCACAACACAAGCCATCAAGCATCAGCCATTATGGTACATCACATTCAACCTGCTCTCTGCCATTCATGTGCATGCTGCATGCTGGCCCACCTTGCTTTCAGCTGATGGCACACTGTAAGGTGAACAGTCACAGAAATCCTTCCATCAGCTGTATACTTTATGGTTGGGCAATCTTTTATGAACACTCAAGAGACAGAGGCTACCATCTCCCATAACAACTAAGGAAACAACAAAGAGATGGTTCTTTTTTGTCATAAGAAAAAAGGAAGCAAAACTTTTGATTTTACTTACATGTTCATTTCCTCCGCATTTTCTGCTGCAAAATAAAATGTCTTGATCTGTGGATGGATGATCTTCATAGCGCTTCCAAAACAAAAACAAAAACATATATTCATATATATGGGAAACACTAGATTTAAAAAGTGAGTATGTGGGTCAGTTTACCAAAGACTTTATGATCCCAAAATATTTAAAAAACCACTTAGCCTGAAATCCTAACTCCATTACAACCTTGCCTGGACCTGTTCTGGAGGCTGGGGTCAGGGGGAGATCGGGCTTCTCCCGCCCAAGCCCCGCGGCTAAAAACGAAGCCAAGACAGCGAGCGAGATCCATCCCACTTGTTGTCTTGTCTTCTTTGCTCTTGGGGGGTGGAATAAGATTTTTTTCTTGATTTCCCCCCCTAAAAACTAGGTGCGCCTTATGGTCCGGTGCACCTTATGGAGCGAAAAATACGCTAACTAAGGAAAGTTGGCTGCCCTTCACATAAGATTTCAGACCAATGAGACAGTAGCGAAGTCATTTTTAAGGCTGCGATATCTCAGTACTAAGTGCTACCCTCCCTTGGAAGGAAAACCAAGCAAGATCATACTTACATTTTCACAGGCAGGATTAACCTAAGCAGCGGAAACCCTTGCTCAACAGGTATTTCCTCCTCCTCCCTCCCATGTACCCCCTAAAATTGTTTTTGGGGGATCAGGAGACAACCTCCCATCCCGAGCAATGCACAGGGGGAGGAGGAAGGGATCGTTCCATCTAGCAAGTGGCAATGCTTGCAGATGGAACAACTGGAAGAACGTGGCATTGAATTCCAGCCCAAGGATTTCCAGTACCATATTAAGCTCCCATAAATTCCACCCACATTCATCTCAATGGAGTCTATCAGTTTGAAATATTGGCAATGCTGTAAGGACAACAATGATTGGAGGCCTGTTGAGTTTATGTCCTGACGGACAGTTCTATTTACATAAATATCCATAAAAAGCAGAACTAGGTATGATCCAGCAGGGATCTTCTTGTATTCACATTTCAGCTTGTAAAATTTCACTTTCTCAAGGCTCCAAGTCGAATGAAAGACTTACTACTTTTTCTTGCATTCTGTCGCTTGATTCACTGTGAATTCTGGAAGGCTGAGGAACCCTTCAGCTTTCTCTGCCTGTGACAAAATAAGCCGGCAATATTAAAGTATGCTACATAATTTATTGAAATTAGACATTAGATATTAACTGGATATCAGAAAGCTTTTCAGATTACAGAAATAATTTCTAATAATTTGAGATCTAAATTGTAAAACACAGTAGATAAGAAGAGCAATTTCTACCTTTCTTGGGCATATATGTGGAGAAGCAGGTGGCAGTAGTGCATGGTGGAACAAAAATTCAGGGCTTTTGCTGCAGTCCCATGCTCAGATGTTTACCAACCAAGTCATCCATTTGCATTGGACTGCAGTAATTTTTTTCTCATTAGCAACCACACTCTGGATTCTGAACAGCTGCAAAAAACCCAATGGACTCATCTCGGGTAGAGTGGTTTCTTCACATTCTCTCCTCCATCCAAACAAGCAAAAGGCATTATGAGATTTCAAGAGAACATTCCAGCCAGGTGTGCTCAGAAGTATAAATTTCAAAATGCGAAACTTCATTTAATTAGGTCTCTCCAGGCTACATCCAATTGCATTAGTGGAAAGTGCTTTTGATCACGCAACTCCAGGCATCCAACATTTCACTGATTTTCCCCCTTCCCCGTGAAAAGATGCTCCTGAGGTCTGGTGGGTCTTCCAGAACATGATGGGATGTGGCATAGAGGACTGCAGTGGGTGGGAAAATGGGGTGCTCTGACTTGTGCAGGCAGAAGCGCCTCCTACCAAGGCAAATCGGTTATTTCAGGAGTGGGGAACCTTTTACAGCCTAATGGGCACATTTCATCATGTGCGCCTTCCAGGGGCAGGTACTAGCTGAAAGCAAAGGGAAGGTGGGGCAACAGGTTAGTGGTTTTAGGCAAACAAACCAGGTAAGCAAGAAGCAGGATCTCAGTTCAAGGACACATTCCAGTCAGGCAAAGGCACTGTGCACAGATAAGGGACAGTCAGGCTTCTGAAGGGGCATATTCTGAAGAGAGTCCCAAAAGCTAAGGAGACAACTCTGTAGTCCTGCATCTGGCCTCCAGGTCTGTAGTTTCCCACCCTTGCATTAGCACCCCTTCTTCATGTTTTATTTAAACAGATTTGGGTTAAAAAAATAAATAAACCAGTCCTCCCTAGTTTTCTCCCTGCCTGTCCCACACCCATCGTTTTTGATCAACATGCCAATGAAGAAGTAGCCCCCATGTGTTTGGGTAATTGTTTGAGGGGTCCAAATATAGGCAGAATTCATTTCAAACGCTAACATCCTTATATTCTCTCAAAGCTCACTGATGGACTACGAGACACACTGCACCAGCCTGTTGTTGCTATGTTACGGTTCCTTGCATCAGGGCAGCTCAAGTTTTTTTGGCTGAAACAGAATTCACACTTCATAAATATACAACCCATTGCAAAGAAGTACAAGTATTCCAGGCAAGCAAGATGACCACCGTTTATTTGAGCAGAGTTTCTGCCCACGCACAGATGCGTGAATGCTTTGCCTCCGAAAACTAAAATGTCTGCTTAGAATCTGAGCTGCGCCATCTGTAGGTGAAGGGGAAAGGGGTTTTCCCCAGGACCCTCACAAAACGGTAACCTCGACTTCCCTAAAAGCACAGAAAACAGCAGATGTTGAGTGACGCTAAGGAACCTCTGTCTGCAGAGGAAGCTTTTGAACTTTTAAACCAAGGATGAAAACAGTCGTTTCAAGAGGGCTGAAGACAAGTGGCCTGCTGGAGTGAGAGTTTACTGAAAAGCAAGGCTTAAAAAGTGATAACCTTCCACTGCCCACCCCCAGCTTCTGATACTTGGCTGCACACCATAACTCAGCAGTGTGGAACCAGGTGCCTTCCAGATGTTGTTAGACTCCAGTTCCATGAGTCCCAGCCAGCATGGCCAATAGGCAGGGATGATGGGAGTTGCAGTTAAAAACATCTGGAAAGCCACATGTTCTGTATCCATGCTATTTATGAACACAGAGGTCGTTACATTTGGCTAATATGAAAGGACTATCAATGTCCATGTTATATCTTCTCATTTCCTTAGTCCACTAGTGAAAGAGGTTTTGGAGGTTTGCCAGCCATTAACCACCCTGAAAAACTTGTTTGATCAGAAAGTGATAGTGGCTCAAAAGAAATAAGCACACACACACACACACACACACACACACCATGCACAACAATGGCTCCCATCCCCTTTCAGCTCCCTGCAGGACCAAACTCCAGCCTGCAGGGCTCCACACAAAAGAAACTTTTTTTGTCAGCAAAATGACAGTCCCAACATCTATTCTGGAAGGGAAGCCCAAATCAGAGCTCCAAAGTGGGGTATGGGAAATCTCTTCCTTGATGCAAGGATGCTCTGGGCTGAGTCAAATTCTGGGGTCCTCGGGCAGTGTGCAGCAAAACATTTGCCTAGTCACACTTTGTAAATATATGCCTCTTGTACACAAGGGATATTCATGGGCTCAGAATGTTGTTTATGTTCCAAGTCTTTGCTTTGTACTAGCTTTAGAGGGCTTGAGGTCAGCTAGCTGAAGGAAGAAATTCACTCTTTTCCACAGTGTAATTATAAGGTGGGAGACAAGGGGATTCTTTGTACGTGGCTTATTCCTTAAGTGTCACATGTCTCGGTTTACAGGGTTTTCTTTTTCTCAGATACACACTTTTTTACTTATCATTTTATAAGAAGCGTATCTTGTGGACAGGTGATATGTGGGGAGGTGTTCATCCCCCGGTGTTAATGCAGCAGTAGGCCCTCGGTAATGGTACCCACTCATTGGAATGCCTTCCCTTGGGAAATTCAGGAGGCAGAGACAGCAGCCTCTTAAAAACTTATATGCTTTCCTGGACAAAATAGAGATTGAAAAATTAACCGTCAATTCTGTATTTTGTACACTGCACAGTTTTGTTCTGTTTTTAGCTTTTTAAAGGAAATGCTATTGTGTGTATGGTTTTTACATAAATCACTTAGAGATTTTTATTATGTTAAACTTCTATCATATTTTATGATATTATACATTTTTATAAATAAGTAAATAGCATGGCTCCATTTGTTGATCTGAGAAAATCTGGAGCCCACAGATGTGGCTGCCAGGATCCTCTTCACTGCAAAACCTAAGCTTTTCACTTGGAAGAAAGTTCCACTGTGTACAAAGGGACTTACTCCTAGGAAGGTTTGAAGCCTTAGACCCCAACCTACTTCTTGCTGAACCTCTGTGGGAGATCAAGGGCAATCTGATCTCCAGCTCCAAACATCTGAAGATGGGAGAGGAGACTGGAGCTTTAGGAGTGTGCATCTGAGGCATTCATGGTGCCTTGCACATCTGTTGTCAATACAGTAAGTCCCAATTGTTTCCTCCAGAACTGGAGGGAACAACAGGCTCGCCTGGAGGGTGGGCAGCCATTGTATGAGTATCTCAGTTGCCCACTGCCAAAAACATCAGTCCAAACTTTCCTTTCTAATTTGGAACTGGAGGGGATGCTGAGCCTGTTGGATACTCTTAGATGCAGAAGCTGCCAAGAGCAATGTTGGGGTGATGAGCTCATTCAAACTGTGCACTCTGTCCTTAAGGGAGGGCGTGACGTGACCCCCAACCATTACAAGCAACTCACATTCTCCAATGCCAACTGGACCTTCCATTGATTTCCCCAGTCTTATCTAGATTGAACTTGAGTTTGTGATTTGATTTGTTTAGTTAATTTATTTAACCCGCTTCTGTCCTGCCTATCAGTAGGACTTCCAGGACAGTTTATAACAAAAACTTAAACAACTGGAAACAGCAATTAAAAACAACTAAGACCACAGTAAAATAAAAGACCATCAGCCACCAGGAGGTTAAATCACATTTTGTTGTATCCTACCAAGAAACAGGCAATTCCTTTTGGGTAGGGCAGCATTGCCCTAGGTCCATCTTTTGGTACCTTATTATGAGACAGGAGTAGAGCCATTCCCAACTCCTAATTGAAGTCCAAAAAGATACTTTTTTAAAAAAAGAATCAGAAGCTACTAGTTGGTCCAGAGGAATCAAAATGATCACAGTCCCCCTCTGTCCCATCAAAGTCCACTAAACCTATTACAGTCCCCCAATGAGATTAAAATCCACAGACTGAAACTGATCTCCACACCCTGTTTCATCCAAGAGCAACTGGAGCTGTTCCACTATACTACAAGTTCAGCCACACTTCCCACCCAAAATGGAGGCCAGTCTAATAAAACCTTCTTATAGCTTCTTTTGAGGGACAGGAATAATGCCCTCTTTCAATAAAATAGCACATCGTGGACTAATCTGACCCGTCTCCTTTGGCTACATGTTATTAAGTACAAATAGTAAGGATCAAACATACATATGTAGTAGGTAGAGAGCTCCCACGACTCCACATACTAACAACAACTGAAGCTTATCCAAGCAACCTTGAAGAACGGAAGCCAAGGACACTCCTGATATAGATTTAATAACCAATGAAGTGTTCAAGTCAGAGCGATTTTATCTACAAAGTTCTATGCAAACAGGTCACAATGGTTGTGACCTGGTGGTCCGTCCTGCTGATCTAGGGCCCTTTGGGCTGCAATACTACACCCATGAAGCTAGAAGTAAACTCAGTAGGACTTAGTGAGTGAGCATGCATAGGATGGTGCCCTATGCCAGTCAGTAATGTTCTGCTAGATGGTACAGCACAGATGCAATAGGAACAGAGCAGCAAGGCTGAAATTATAACCATGTCCACTCCAAAGCAAATCCACAAGAAATCAACAGGGCTTACTCACAGGTAAGTGGAGTTCTTCCACACTGCCAATCAACATGTGGAACCTTGTTGTTCATTTGAACTCATTCTGCATTACCCATGTGTGCTCCAACTGGGTTGTCCTTGTTGCTTTATCACCCACAACTCTCTCTCCCACTCACCACACTGCACCCCCCAGAACACTAGAGAGAAGCTTGGACTCTAACCTTTGACAGAGGCCATCTTGGAGCAACTGCCTAAAATCTACACCTGTTCCAGAAGTCCAGAATAGCTAGCAACATTAGCTAGAAATTGCAAGGGCAGTTACACAATGGCTCCTACAAAGCTGCACTAGAATCCTTCTTGCTCAAAGGTTCCTCCTGTTGAATCAGAAACATGGAGGAAGCTTGGAGTATGGGGAAATTAACTGGCATCTAGGTAAAAAGCAAAGGAAAGTGCCCACTTATCTTACTATGGGCCCCAAACTTCTCTCAAGCAACCTGTTTATCCACAAACACTCTGTCCAGCTAACATGTTTCAAAACAGGAGGGCTTTGTTCCAAACAATGAAGTGAAAATTAAAATAACTTATTCCCTTCCTGTGATTGTCTAAACACACTAAACTTACAGATTCTTGAATTACACATGATAAAACGGCTTAGGAATGCTGAATCTTCCCTTAATTTACCTGGAGAAACTAAGAGGTTAGCATGCTTACCACTTGATTGCTGTACCAGTATAATGACGAACACTTCAGGACACACCAGAACTTTTTCCATTTGTTGCCAATAAAGCCCCCTTTCTCTTTCTTCTTGTATAGCCATCCCTGGCAATCAGCAAGCCCCAAGTCCTTGCATGATATCCTTCGACGGCTCATTGTACAAATTCCTGTGCGAAAAAACAAAGTGCCACCTTTAAACATGCATGCAGGGGATGCCAGCATTTTCTTTTGAAATACAACCCAGAATTATTTCTGAATGGACAATTAGCAAAGATAAATTAGTCAAAATGAAGCTTTAGGAATCCATAACGATAGAGAACATTGTGCCAGTGAAACAGAATGCAGATTTAAATCCATTACTGGATGTTTTCCATGTGTGCGTGTGTGATCATAAATATATACAACGGTTAAAATACCCTTCCAAACTGATACGTTAGAAAATTATATTTTCATGACAGTCAGTATAGACTAGCAATGAATTAAGCAGAACAGTTCTCTTTCTCACACACACACAGAGCTTTGACATACCGAAACAGCTTAGTCCAAATGAAGAGTGTGTCATTATCTTCCCCACTGAATCAATGTAAAAACTAAGCAGAATAACAGCGTGCTCAACACCAAACAAACAATACAACAAAAACCGTCCTCCTCGCGTGAGCAAAATTTTAACACTAAACAAAAGCAGGAACAAAAGGAAGACCTCGTTACCTTGATTTTTCTTCCTTGTCTTCTGACGCAAAGGAACCTGCAAGAAATGCAGGAAGGAAAGAAAAGAGGAAATTTCAGATGGTGTTGCAATATTTTTCAAAAAGGGAGGGGGACTCTGGAGGAGGAGGAGGAGGAAGAAGAAGAAGAGGAGGAGGAGGTGGTAGCAGACAGTCCCAGCACAGAATGGAATCTTTCAAACAAACACACACAGAGAGCTAATGGGGAAGCAAGTAGTTGAAGCATAAAATACTGTAATTAAAATTGATTAATTGTGAAGCTCCATGAGAGCAAGTACAGCACTTTTGTGCCTCTGCAACTAAAGCTTCCTGTTTCACACCCGCAGACAGCTATGCTGTGTAGGGGTAGCTCAAACCAGAAACAAAAATCTTCAGCTGAAGCTTCAGTGCCCTGTATCAGCTGCTAGACAAGCTCTCCAGCACTCAAAGGGCACACTGAACATCGGTACAACAATCGCTATCCTCACCGCACACTGCGGTCGCCACAATAGAACAAGTTTGCAAAGAGCCAGAGGATCAAAGGAGGGTACGCTAGTTCAGTTCACAACTTAGCCAATTTAATCCTGCTGAATTCAAGGAGATTTAAGGCTCGAGTCACATATACACACATACCAGCCAGTGACTTAGTGCCTGGATGACTCACAGTTGAACATTAAGAATTGCCTCTCATGGAAACAGCGGCTATGAAAGGAGAACTTGACCAGCGACGGCTGTTTCACACAGGAAACCTGGCATCTGATGTGTGACACATGTTTACCTGTATTCCTGCCTTCATATTTCAGAAGGCCGTGTCTGCAAAGCTTTGGGACCCCTATACAGCCCTCGTGAAAAGAAGGGGCAAAATAAAACATCCAAGGCAAAAATGAGGAAGGTATTGGTCAGGCAAAATAGGGGCTGAAGCCTGTTAATTTCTTCTGCCCCTCAGAACCAGTAGTTCTCTGCTGCTCTTCAGGTTCCACTGAAGTGATGCCTCACCTCACAATAAACATGTTCACCCTAATGTCCGGTTCACATAAGTAACTTTGGCACATGTTGTCTTGTGACTAGCTCAGGACCTATCCAAACTGCACCCAGCCACATCCTGAGGATTGTTCAGGGGTAGGATACAGAGGTTCCAGTAAGGTCTGGCCTAGCTACTTATTTTAAAAGGTCGGACCAGCTGACCTGGATATCATCATCTCAGGGTCTTGGTACTCAACCTCTTACTTATGTTAGGTTAACAGAAAACAATAGAAATGGAACCTTCTGCACGTAATGCAGTTACCCTGTCACTGAACTACTGCCCTTCCCAAGTGAATCAACCAATGAACTGACAACCAAGTTAAAAATCCAACAAGAGCAAACATAACAAAAACCAAGAAAATTTAGACCCATAGAAAAGCCCTATAAGTTATCTGAACTTGTACCAAACAGCCAGAATGAAAGAGATTGAATGAACTTTCCCAGAAGGGAATTCAAGGATTTTGGTGCCACTATGGAAAAGGCCCTGCCCAAAGCAGACCCCCTCCTCACACACCTGTATTTCAGACATCGATAGAAGCAGAATCAAGGTCTCTAATCAAGATGGGAAAATATGGGTAGTTAGAACCAGCTCTATAATCAACTTAAATCAGAATCCTTCAGGCTTGACCGAGTTGTGGACCTAGCTGTACAATCTTATTCATCACTATTGAGTTCAGTGAATAAGTGAGTTTAGGACTGCAGGTTTGTGTGACGGGGGGAAATGTGATGTCACAAAATCTATGCTGAAATGACAATGCTACATCATTATCATGCTGGTGGTGAGTAAACATCCTACAGTTTCATCATAGGTTTAACTCATCCACAGGGTTTAATTTTGCAACATCATGGCAGGAAATGGTTCTTTTTTCCAATTTCAAAACAAACTAGTAGCCGCCCTGTACAAATGCACTAGTGGTTAGCACTGGGATAAGCTAGCATAGCACTTTTTTTTTCCTATTTCCAATGTTCTTGCTGTGCATGCAGTCCAAATGGCTTCACCCATGCACAAGGCTTGGAAGGAATCCCAGGGTTTGCAGAAGCATCAAAAAAACCTTAGAAAAATACTGAGGGTTGAAACCTCCCACAAACAGCTTAGTGAAGACTGAGCACACTCAGTAAAGGAATGATTAGTGCTTGTTATGTGACAAAAAAAGAGAATAGTGAATAGTGTAACTCCACATTGCAACATTGTGCTGCATGTTCCATTTGTTTCATTAAATAAACTTTGGGAAAAGAGGGGAGATATACACACGCAAACAAACAAACAAACAAACAAACAAACACTCATTCAATTCCATTATAGAATTGAGAAAGTACAAACCAGGAATTAAGCTCCAAACATGTATTGTCCCTACTGGAATATTTGATTTAAACATTGTTTAAGTTGCAGCATGACATTTGTTCATAACCATAACGGAATAAATATTCAGTCCCCTTAAAAGTATGACCAACATTGTGTTGTGCCTGTAAATTTCAGATCTCCAATCCTCACCTATGTGAAGAAGTCTCAATAAGTTCTTCACCAACAAAAATTGACCCAAGAAACTGTTGCAGAGAAATCAGCAAGCTACTTTTTGTTACAAGATTACAAATAAAGAACTGATCTATATAGTAGATAGAAGTGAAATATCACATGTTTTGATTTTTACACAGGTTCCTTGTACACAGAAAAGTAGCATCTTGAGGAGAAAGGTTCCAGCCCAGGATTCTTCCTGAGGTGCTGGATTTCTGAGATGCAGGCAGGGCTTTTACAAGAGGAAACACGAGGCATCACATATGAAACATTCCTTCTTCTGGATATATGTTTTATGTACCTGACACAACACCTTGTTGTGGGGGCAGATTTCATATTGTTAGGATGTTCATGTGTCTTACTTTACAGAGGACAGTCTTCTATCTGAAGAACTGTCCTTGGAGAATCCTCTATTTGAAGGTCCAAGTAGAGTTTGAGATAGAGAACCTTACAATATGAGGGCAAGAGCCTTAACATTGCCCATTAATAGCAGGCTGCTCATGAGAACAAGTCATTTGGTCAGTCTTTCATGTGATGATGAGATGCATTATATTTCTATTTCAATTAGTTATAAATCTGCACATATACATAAAACTTTGGGTGTGCAACTTTTATGCAAATCTGTGTTGCCCTTTCCCCTCTTTCTGACGAGACATATTTTTTTGAATGTGTTCCAGGTGAATCAACGGGCCATAAGGCCTTATACCCCTCGACGTATTCTGCAAGTAATTGTTTTCCCAAAATGGATAGTATCACTTGTTCTCCATTAACAGTGACATTATATACTTACAGGGGCTTTTCCATCAGCGGCCATACACAAAACCGAAATTGATGGGGAAGCTGGAAAAGAAAATGATACATAATAATTACATTTTAAATAACATTAACTGTAGAAAAAAATATTTTTCACCAAACAATCCTACAACACTGACTGTGTAGTGGAGATAAATCACTACTTGATGTAGAGGAGAGGAGAGAGAAACACACAGCACAGCAAATTGCATGCAAATGGCAGACATTTCTCCAGCACACTGGGAAGCACCACCAAGGCCCCAGATTGGTGGACTGTGTTGGCAATGATACCAGCAGGCTGCCCACAAGCAGAGGGAACCAATGAACTTGCAACAATCAAGATACACCTCAGCATACATCCCTGCATCACAACGCCCTTACAACAGTGTCCGCAATTTGTCAGCCCCAGTGGCACAGCCAGCAATGAATCCACTGCTATAGGTATGTCTGTAGCCAGGGGTTTGAAGTCCACTACACTCCTCAAAACCACTATTTTGGTGACAAGAATGGAGAGCCCATTTGGGAGTGAGGTTTTCTGAAAAGCTCTACATCAAGCTAATCTGCACTGGTTTTTTCTAATTCCTGTCTCATTCGTGAGGCTCAGTGAGAAGCGAGATCCCTGTGCACTTCTGCTAAAAATACAAATAATTCTCACATATTACATGCATCATTGTAGACATTAAATCGTACTATTATACACATAGTATTATATATCTATTCTGTGCATAAACAAGTTTCCTAAAGTAACCAGCATATAAACAGAGCCATACAAGAATACATATAACTACAGTATATAAAAATATGGAGACAAGTAGACAGCTCGGAACAGTAATTTAAAGAGAAAAACAAGAAGCTAAAAACTGGGAATGGCAGGTGAGAACACAACAACCACTGTTTCACTCCAGGGTTCTTTCACCAGTTCATGCCATAAAAAAACGCTCTCCTTAGCTTTACAGCTTTAAAATGCTCACAAACTGTTCTGAGTTGACATGCAGTTAGACAGCTTATGTCCAAAAATGTTCAGAAGCGGGGGATTAAAATTAAGCTCTCCGATCCATATTTAGGTAATTATAGAAACGATTTGATTTTTTTCAGAATTTCTGATCCTCCACAAGATATTCTCCAAACATATCTTGGGAACTCTGAAAATAAATTCTTCCCATAAGATGATTTGGAAAAACTCCTGGCCCACTTTATGGTAGTGACTAATCAGGCTGAAGACTTGAGAAACATGCATGGGATGCAAAATGTAACAATTTTCTAGAGTAGCTATCTATCTTGCCTACATGTGTGTGTGTATGTTTTATAGCTGATCAGCATTGAAGTTCCAATTAATGGATTCGCTTGTCTGAAATTATGGAAAATCCTGCTCTTCCTATGGGATGTTCCGCTGACATCCCGGCAAGTTTATGTACATTTATTTACAAAAAGACACATCCAGAGCCTGGATCTTGCCTGCTCACTTTTACGTTTGTTGGTCAGTCTGAATTTCGCTCCTCCCACAGCAGGAAGGACACCAGACTCCCACCTTTCCCCTCTTGCCCTTCTGTTGCCTTCTGATTTTATCCAGACACCTGAATCAGGGACTGAGAGGTTGACCTTTCCCCTCCTCTTTGCTCCCACTCAACCCAGACTCGGACCTCTGCTTATCTGCTGATTGCCTAACAATGCTCTGGCTGCCTTCCAACTCTTCCTCTCCTTGGGAGCTAATAGAGTCTTCTCCAGAAATGGGAGCTGAACTGCCCTTTCTTGATTCTGACAGCCAGTTCTCATCTGCAGAGTTGGACCCTCGTTCATTTAGTTCAGTCTCTGAGTCTAACTCATCCCCTGCGCTGGGGCACGTTCCTGACACCTCCTCTCCCCATCTGCTTAGGAGGATCAAGAGCAGGGCTTTTTTCAGCCAGAACTCACTGGAACTCAGTTCCAGCATCTCTCAGGTGGGTGCCATTGCCATTATAAGAGAACAAGGGAGGTGTTTATGGTGAGTTCCGGCACCTCTTTTTCTGGAAAAATGGCACTGATCAAGAGAATCCCTCAACCAGTGAATGAGGGGAGGGGCAAATGGTCCACCTGGCAAGCAGAAATGCTTGCACTGATGAAACCATCTCCTTAGTGCCAATTACACCCCCGTTCCTTAATTCTAATTAGTACATGTCCATGCCTCTGAGTCAATGTTTGAGCATCTGACTCTGGTTGGTGTACCTCTTGGGGTTTAAGTAAAAGACAAGCCTAAAGTCTACCCACACCTCCTCTAAAACACTGTACATTTTCCAAGTATTGTTAAGTAATTAAGACATATTCATTCTGTTCTGGATGAGTAATGAAAAAGCATTAGGCTTCACTAGCCATTCAGTTCAGAGTCCCTCTTTTTTGTTCTTCCCAAAAAGCAAAAATAGTTCAAGCTGTTATAAAAGAAACAACAGTTTCTCTGCTTTGCTAACATACATTCATGCAATTTGCCCTATCTTGTCTCGAGAAACAGCAATGGGGTGATCTGATGGGCCAGATGATCCTCATGGTCCCTTCCAACTCTAAAATTCTATGATTCCTCTAGGAGTTTGTTCTGCAAAGCAGTTTCCCCAAATTAGAAGTTGCTGTCTGGAACACATTTACCAGATACGTGTCCCACTTAACTTCCCAGTAAAAGTAAGTGTGTGTGTGTGAGAGAGAGGGGGGGAGAGAGAGAGAGAGAGAGAGAGAGAGAGAGAGAATAAATATCATCCATTGATGCACTATAGTTTTGGGTTGTTCCTATTATTCATTAAACATTTGTTTTTGTTCTTATTTGTCATTGGGATTTGTGTTCTGACATGGAGGCTGCTTCTCTAAGTTTCCTTTTTTTCTTAAAGGTGAAATGATCTCACAAAGACACAGTGATATCCAACTATGCCATACTCAGAGCAGACCCATTTAATCTATTGACTGAAGTTAGGGAAGTTTGTTGCTTTCAGTGGGTGGACTGTTGGATATCACCCAACATGTTTAGTATTGATCTCCTGCTGATCTTTAATAAATGATGTGAGCAGCCTTGTTTCAATATTTATATCTCCCAGTAGGGAGATCAGTTGGGTATTCAATTAACTTTTTATTATGGGACAGGTTCCCATCCCACTCTGAAAAAGTGCCTGTTTTGCCTTCAGAGCAGCAATTTTAAGGACAAAAAAGTGTGGGGATGATAAACTACATTCTTCAAGGGAGCAAACTCTTATCTGACAGTATGTCTGGTTTTAATAATTTTTAAACTGTGTAATATATTTTATTTTGTGTAGTTTATCTTTTGTAATGGCTTTGGCATGAAGAAGAAGAAGAAGAAGAAGAAGAAGAAGAAGAAGAAGAAGAAGAAGAAGGAGGAGGAGGAGGAGGAGGAGGAGGAGGAGGAGGAGGATTAAAAATTTTTAGAAACTGTTGTAATAATTGAATTTATCCCTTCCATTGATCAGTTAGAGCTTGCCACCTCTCAGGATGGTGTTGTCTCTCTTAAGAAAGTGGCCCCTCTAGCTATAACTAAGGCATTCTCCACCATGAATATGGCTATATTAGCATAGAACTTATTTCTGGCCAGTTTGAACACTTTGAGCAAGGCTGGACTTCAGAAGCTTGAAGTTAACATATAGGGAACGATAAACAGTGAGTTAGAAGCAGACTTAGTCGTGATTACAGGAGACCCTCTGAAACCAGGATTACAGGAGACCCTCTGGGACTTCAAGTTAGTCATGACTAAGAAGTTCTATTGGTTTCAATGGGTCTTCTCTGTGACTTAAGACTGGCTCCAACCCATGTACTTTGAATACACCCATCACATTTTCATGCATGCCAACTAGAAGTCTGGAAATACTTGCATTGAAGGGTGGAGTTAAAATATGTTGAGTACATTTTTAAAATAATTTGTTCTTGAGGGATTTCTTTCTATACAGAAACACCTCAACAATAAAAAAGGACTGTGGCACACCAGACAGAAGTACCTATAAGTCTGTTAGAATTTGTGAACTGAGATGTGCTATTCTTAATATGCATTTTGCTTTTAATAAGCTAAAGAACAACAAACACTCTAAAACAATAGACCAAAATGCTCACATTGTTGCCTTCAGCTATTGGAAACTAAAAATAAGGCAGATGTTTCTAAAAGTAGCTGTAAGGGAGGAAATGAAAATGAGGAGGGATCCTATAAAAGAAAAGAAAAACCAATGCTGTTCAGAAATTATATTCCAAATGTAAACAAGCAGATAGGAAACACCTTTTTTCATCATGCAAATTATAAGGGAACATCAAACATTAAGCAGAAAACAATGAAACAGTATAACAAAAACAAAAATAGCATAACTAAATGGGCTACAACATATGAAGAAAAAAATGAGAGTCTGTGGAACTATGGTGAACAAACAAAAAAAACCCCTTACTATTGGTAAAATAGTTGGTTATCAAATTTTAAAGGATGCAGCTGGATATACCATCGGCTGTGGGGAGGACTGCAGGGCCTGCTCCCTTCCAAGGCCTTTTCCAACTGGCCCAGGGGGCGTGGCACAGGCCCTTATTTGGAACAAACTTTTGGGGAAGTTGGGAAGTGTTCTGCGATTGCTTCCCTGTTCCAAGTGGTTAATGTGTTTTAAAATGTCCTCAAGCAGTCGGTGGCAATTTAAATTTGTATTTCTTTTTTCCTTTTTTCCTTTGTTGGGGGTGGGTGGGATGGATATTTGGTTGGGGATTAATTTTAGTATAACTGTTCTGTTTTTGTTTTTTGTTGTTTTATTGGTTCTGTATAGTTTGTGTTTTGTTTTTAAGGGGCGGGATCAGGGCTGCCTGGGAGTGGGGCCCCAGCCAACACGATGGCTGGGACAAGTTCCACAGGGGGGGAATCACTGGGACATCCGATCTCGGTGATCATGGGCAGGAGGAGGAGTTACGCTAAGACCAGACCATGTCATTACCAAGGAGGCAGGTTTAGTCATTGTTTGAGGACTATCCCTGCCTCCGGGTCTGGCCTTGACTGGATGGATACTGGAATCAACAGGGGAAACCCACATG